AAGGACTTGTGGATTAAAACTCAACCCCTTCACCATTAGCTTGTAAAAATTACTTTAAATAAAAGAAATCAGCCTTTTGCACTCTATGGATCATGGTGGGAAATTTAATTACATTTTCCCCTCAACTTATTTTACACTTGGCAGAAAATTAGAAGGAATATTTTCTTCTCAAATCTAAAACTTATTTCTAGTTGGGAATGTACAAATCTACCCAGATCAGTCTTTTTTCCCTTATCTCTGTTTGATATGTCTTTTATTAGCTGTTCTTTATGTATCTCCCCACCAACAGACAAGTCCATTTAATTTCATGTTCTCCTTCTATCATATGCACCCACTCTCTACCCAGGAAATATAAATGTGCTTAGGGTTGCAAAACCATCTTCTATCTATACAAAAATGCTATGTGCGTAATGAGTACCTTAAAAACAAAAGAACCAATGAACGAAATCACACCAAATTTGGCAACAAAACGTCTCACAACACAAGGAGTGACCATCACTCAAAAAAATATGATTTTGTCATTTGGGAGTTGTAGTTGCTGGGATTTATAGTTCACCTACAATCAAAGAGCATTCTGAACTCCACTAACGATGAACCACACTTGGCACAAGGACTCCCCTGACCAACAGAACACACTAGAAGGGTTTGGAGGGCATTGACCTTGAGTTTTGGAATTGTAGTTCACCTACATCCAGAGAGCACTGTGGACTCAAACAATGATGGATCTGGTCCAAACTTGGCACTAATACTCAATATGCCCAAATATAAACACAGATGGAGTTTGGGGGAAATAGACCTTGACATTTGGGAGTTGTAGTTACTGGGATTTATAGTTCACCTACAATCAAGGAGCATTCCAAACCTCACCAACGATGGAATTGGGCCAAACATCCCACACAAAACCCCCATGACCAACAGGAAATACTGTGTTTCCTGGTGGTCTTTGGTGACCCTTCTGACACCCCCCTGGTGACCCCCCCCCCGGGGTCTTGACTTCCAAGGTTGAGAAAAGCTGCCTTAAGGCCATCCAGTCCAATTCCCTTCACCAGAGCAAGAAAACATAATCAAAACCCTCCTGACAAAGGGCCATCCAGCCATTCACACACACACACATATGTATATGACAGATGCAGTATCAAAGATTTGAAAGGCACCCCTAGAGAAAGACAATGATATGTTGCATGTTCCATAGGAGGCAAACCAGACAATCTCCACGTCAACACTGGCAAAGAAACAGCAAGAAATACTGTTTACCCACAAGCATAAAGACATTACATTTATTAGAAACCAACACTTTCTCATTCCTTTTTTTCCAGATCACCAGACTGGGCCACAGCAATGCATGGCAGGGGACCGCTAGTATGATACAATATTTACCATGCTCCTGAATTAGAAGTGTGCACAATATCTGAAAAAAAGACTGCCAGTTGTGAATAATTCTCCAGGAAATGGCTAATTATACACATGCTTTTCCAAAATGCACATATATTTTTAAATTCCATTTTGTCCATTACATCTATGGGCAACAGAGCATCCATTCAGTGAATTTCAGCTCTGGGAAGGGAAGCCTTTTACATCTCTATGTCTGGTCACTTATGGTTTTTGAAAAAAGGGCCCATTTGAGTCTAAAGCTGATCTTAGGGCAAAAAAATGAAATTTCCTAGAGGATGCAAGAGACCTTTCTGTTTCACTTTTGCTTAAGGGGACATTGAGGGCCATGGGCACGCATGGGCGAACTTCAGCCCTCCAGGTATTTTGGACTTCAACTCCCACAATTCCTAACAGCAGGAATCAATAATTTTTTGGCTTGGCTAGAGCTTGAAATGCTTAACTCTGAGATTGGCTAATCTGCAATATTATTCTTTATAATAACCAAAAACCTTTTGGCTTGGCTAGAGCTTGAAATGCTTAACTCTGAGATTGGCTAATCTGCAATATTATTCTTTATAATAATCAAAAACTTTTTGGCTTGGCTAGAGCTTGAAATGTTTAACTTTGACACCTGGTCTAGGGGGAAGGTTATGTGCAATCCTTCAATCTCTGGAAGTTGCTCATTCATAGTCCCCATAAAGCCATTAGAGCTGATAAACTGCTGGGATTTATGGGAATTGTAGGCCACAACACCTGGGGACCCATAGGTTGAGAACCACTGCATTAGAGATGGGTCATCAGGAGTTTTGGAGTTGAGTGTTATGTTTATGAGGCCCAGAAACATCTCTTGTCAGATGATGCCAAGTAGACTGCTGTAAGTCTTTATCCATCAATGGGAGACAGTAAAAGATTGCTAACACGTCGAAGCTCAAGCTATCCTTTTGACAAAAGATAATCTGGAATGGGGAATACAAGTCATCTCTGATAGGGTTATACACCCGAAAAGGGTAACTTTTGCAGCCCAGACAGCTTCTGTACCTGGCAAGTGGCTACTGTGGCCAAGGGTGCCTTTGCCTAGTTTCAGCTGAAGTGCTAGTCATTCACATCACTTTCTGGGGAAGATGACCTGCCATTTTCTAACTGCAATAATCCACATCACTCGCTATGCTATCTTGAAGTGACTACAGTATCACTTTAAAACTATCTGTAGAACCATATTTGTTCACTCCTACCCAAAATAGTTTAAGGGGAATCCCTCCTCCTACATGAACCTGTCCATAGCTAAGGCTCTGTGTCAGAGTCTCTGTCACATATTCTATACTATGGACTAGTATAACTTCTGTCTCTCCTTCCCATCTGCTACTAAGGAAGCTGTCCAGGTCCTGAACCAGTGCTTGGCCACTGTGACGGTCTGGATGAGGGCGAACAAATTGGAACTGAATCCAGACAAGACAGAGGTACTCCTGGTCAGTTGTAAGGCCAAACAGGGCATAGGGTTACAGCCTGTGCTGGATGGGGTTACACTCCCCCTGAAGGTGCATGGTCGCAGCTTGGGTTTGATCCTGGACTCATCGCTGAGCTTGGAACCCCAGGTTTCGGCGGTGGCCAGAAAAGCATTCGCACAATTAAAACTTGTGCCCCAGCTGCACACATACATTGGGAAGTCTCAATTGGCCACGGTAGTACATGCTCTGGTTACATCCCGTATAGACTACTACAAGGCTCTCTACGTGGGGTTGCCTTTGAAGACTGTTCGGAAGCTTCAAATGGTCCGACGGGTGGCAGCCAGGTTGCTAACAGGAGCGGTGCTCAGGGAGCATACAACTCCTCTGTTGCGCCAGCTCCACTGGCTGCCAATCTGCTACCGAGCACAACTCAAAGTGCTGGCTTTAGCCTATAAAGCCCTAAACAATTCCAGCCCTGCCTATCTGTCCGAACGTATCTCTCCTTACGAACCATCTAGGAATCTAAGATCTTCTGGGGAGGCCCTGCTCACGGTCCTGCCATCTTCACAGGTTCGGCTGGCAGGGACGAGAGACTGGGCCTTCTCAGCGGTGGCCCATCGGCTGTGGAATGCCCTCCTCAGGGACATTAGATTGGCCCCCACCCTCTTAACGTTTCGTAAAAGAGTCAAAACCTGGCTATTTGAGCAGGCTTTCCCAAATGCAGTGTAGCAGGTAAACTCTTCTCGGAATGGCTGGACAACGCGACTGGATGATTTGGTAATGAAATGTGGAGGATTTATTGTTTTATGATGTTTTTATTGATGTTATTATGTAGTGAGTTTTTTAGCTATGTTTAAATGTTTTAGCTATTTTTATACTGTTATGTGCATCGAATTGTGCCATTCTGTAAACTGCCATGAGTTGCCCCCAGGCTGAGAATGCTGGTATAGATATATAGTAAATAAATAAATAAATACTTGGATGATTTCAAATGTGGCTTTACTCCCTTTTTAAAAGATAATTTGTCATTTTTATCATTAAAGTTGTTCATTATGATAGTCATTCATATGCTGCCTGAGGGCTCTTTGGGGGGATGAATGAACACTAAGAAGGATTTACAAATTTATATTCTTAATGTTCAATATTAAAAACCCGTTTCCAGATATTTCTACTAATTAATGTCTAGAACTATTTATTTGTCTATGACTATGTGGTCTAGAAGCTCATAATGTTGATAATAGACATTGGGGCTACATGGCTCAGTGTATCATAGGGTAGAAGAGCAATGCTAAAGCTGGGCATTCACCTTTACATAAGATGTTGACATCTACTGAAGTCCTTCAGAGGTCTCAGCAGATGACATCATCATTTCACATTTGGATATGGCAGTATAGAAGTTTAGTAAGGCACTAGCAATCTTTGATAGTGAAGGCTAAAGACCTTATAAAACTACAGATCCAAAGATTCCACAGGACTGAGCCATGGCAGTTAAAGTGGTGTTGAACTGTATTTATAGAGGAAAGGAAGGAAAGGAGGAGGGAAGGTTGGCCACAGCAACGCATGGTGGGTACAGCTAGTGGAACTATAAAAGAGGGTTTCACTCATAAACAAGTACAAAAAACTTAGCTTAAAAATAGGGTCCAAAGAATGGAAGTATAATACACAACCAAGTAAAGGAAGTTGTACTAAGTACATAGACAACTCTATTTAAAAGTACGCTCAATTCTTCAGCAGTGAAAATGTTTAGGAGGAGGCTGCTATCAAAATGTTCTCAGCATATGCATACCTATGCCTTACTTTCTGACTTAAAATAAAATGGGAACACGAGTAGGAAATAAAGGAATCCAGCAGCTCCTTTGAGGTGAAATGATGAAAATGAGGTGAAATGAGTGTCAGAATAAGATTGTATGGACATCAATCACCGCTTTTGATACACAATGTTTCTGCTGAAATAAAGAGTCTCAAAGATGCTGCTGGATTCCTGCACTGTCCCTCCCTTCCAGTTTATGCTAAAAGAGACAAAGGCAGCTATCCCTTTGAAAACGGAGGTTTTAAAATTACAGTTGTTCAAAACCAGAAAGTCCTCCCAAATGAAGCAGAGGAAAGGAAATGCATTCTAAGACACCTCTAAGCATGTAAGAAATCAAATAAATATGTTTTGATATACTGAATATCAGTACTTACTTTGATTCGAGGCATAGTGACTGTAGGCGGCTTAGCTTCCGCAACAAAACTATGAGATGTTCCTTTTTCAATCAGCTGCGATGTATAGGGCATGAACTGTTCCCCTTTTGAACCGAAAACGAAGTCGTCCCGCAGGGCATCAATTAGCATTATGACTGTCCTTTTAAAGAGAGGAGATGGAACCTTGGTCCAATTGGAAGATGATCCTAAAATATATATATACACATAAGGAATATACAAGTCAGTTAGCATTTAATCAAAATACCAGTACATGACAAGCATCCCTTATTTGGAATTCCAATATGTTCCAAAACTGAAACTGTCCACATGGTTGGCTGGGAAAGGAACAAACCCCTTTAGAAATATGAATCAACAAATACAGTCTCTATGGGCCCATTTGAGGCTATTATGGCACCCAGGAAAGTTACATGGAGAGAAGCGAAGGGGGAAATGAAGCTATTCCCAGCAAAAGTTAACCTCTTTGCCTTGTTACTGAATATAATTGGCTTTCCATATCCACAGATTCTGCATCCATTGATTCAAACATTCATGGCTTGTAAATACTATCAAAAGAAAAAAAGGATTCTAAAATGCAAACTTGGTTATGTTATTTTATATACAGGATACCATTTTAAACTGTGAGCCCAGTTTGGGGGGCATATATAATTACACTATGTAACACTATATTTCCTAATTGGTTCTATCATTTTAAAAAAACCTAGAAAAAGTTTATTAAACTGCAAAAAATTGTTTTTGTGGGACATCCTGCTGCACGTATTGCTATAGTTTTTCATGGCATCATTTCACATATTTATAAATGGCAATCACGTCTCCTCTCAAACTTCTCTTCTGCTGGCTACACATATCTTTTATTTATTTTATTTATTTATGACATTTATACTCCGCCTTTCCCCATTCAAGGGCCCAAGGCAGCTTACAGCCAGTAAATACATACAATATAAACATTAAAAACAAGTTAAAGAAAGATCCAAAGAAGATACAATTAGAAAAGAAACTGAAGATTTTAAAACAAGAAAAGAATCATTTGGAATTGGAATTTCAAGCTAACCAAATTAAATTTTTGAAACAACAAACATTTGAAAATGCGAATAAACCTGGAAAATGGTTGGCAAGACAAGTTCGGAAAAAACAACAATCAAGACAAATTACGAAGATTAAAATGGGGGACAAACTTATCTCAACAGACAAAGAAGTAAGTTAAAACTATAAATATTAGTAAAGGCTGTAAACCACTACTTAAAATCCCCTCAATTAGATTGAAAACCCACCCTAATAATATGTGGCAAGGTCGAATACCTAGCTCTTTAAGACGCTCCTCATAGGGTTTCATGGTTTTCAGACCTTTGTAAATTTACAAGTTGTTCAGTCTGCTCTGTCAAAGTGTGATCAGTATCTCACCAAACTACAAAATCCTGGATTCTATACCACAGAGCGATGGAAGTTGTCAAACTTCATTAATTCTACACAGTAAGCAATGGATTCAAATTGTGGGGAAAAGAGATTCCACCTCAACATTTAGAAGATGAGGAGGAACTTTCCCCTATGAACCAACTTGGGCCTAAAGGTCCTCGGGGGAGGGGGGAGCTTCTCACGTTCCTACCCTCCTCACAAGCACGGCTGGCAGGGAGGAAAGGGTCCTCTCAGTGGTGGCCCCCCAGTTTTGGGATGTTCTCCCTAAAGAAATCAGTCAGACACCTTCTCTAGCTAACTTTAGGAAAGAACTAAAAATCTGGATGTGGAAGCTGACTTTCGAAAATGGTTGATTACTTTTCATAATGATGGTGGCCTTTTAGCCTTGTCAATGCCTATTGTTTTTAACTGGTTTTGCCTTCCTGGTGCACCCAGTACAATTTTAACCTGAGAATTAACTTATTGTGTTATTATTTTTAATTTTTTTTTGTTTATAATTATTGATTATATATGATGTCTTGTCTTTTTGGTTTTTGCTTATGCATGTATTGTGACTTAGAATAATGGAATCAGAGAATCATGAGTTGGAAGAGACCTCATGGGTCATCCAGTCCAACCCCCTGCCAAGAAGAAGAAAAACTGCATTCAAAGCAACCCTGGTCATACAGCCTCTGTTTAAAAGCCTCCAAAGAAGGAGCCTCCACCACACTCCGGGGCAGAGAGTTCCACTGCTGAACAGCTCTCACAGTTAGGAAGTTCTTCCCCCATGTTCAGGTGGAATCTCCTTTCCTGTAGTTTGAAGCCATTGTTCCATTGCATCCTAGTCTCCAGGGCAACAGAAAACATGCTTGCCCTCTCCTCCCTATAACTTCCCATCACATATTTCTACTTGGCCATCATGTCTCATCTCAGCCTTCTCTTCTGCAGGCTAAACATGCCCAGCTCTTTAAGCTGCTCCTCATAGCGCTTGTTCTCAAGACCCTTGCTAATTTTAGTCACCCTCCTCTGGACACATTCCACATTAGAGTCAACATCTCCCTTCACTTGTGGTGCCCAGAATTGGATACAATGTAATTCCAGGCTTTTGAGAATTTTTATTATTACTCTTATTATTATACTGACACAAAAACACAGTATGTCACAGCAAATGAGATCTCTATGCTGGGATTGTGGCGCAGCTGGCTGAGTGTCAGCTGCATTAAGATCACTCTGACCAAAAGGTCATGAGTTCAAAGCCAGCCTGGGTTGGAGTGGGTTTCCAACCAATTGTGTAGCCTGTTGTCGACCCGAAAGACAGTTGCATCTGTCAAGTAGGAAAATTAGGTACCACCTTGTGTGGGAAGGCTAAATTAACCAATTTACGAGGCCATAAAAAAAGGACTCCAGCAAAAAGCATTCCAGCAAAGCATGCGGGGAATGCGGAAGTACTTCATCAGTGTCGCAGATGGACAATGAAAGTGACAGCTCCCCTGGCGGCCAGAAAAAGTTAAGTAGCCTCTGTGTATGTCTGTATATGTTGTATGTCAATTGGCATTGAATGTTTGCTATATATGTGTACACTGTAATCTGCCCTGAGTCCCCTGCGGGGTGAGAAGGGCGGAATATAAATACTGTAAATAAATAAATAAATAAAAATCACAAGTCGAACTCTTCCCAAGCGTCTAGGACTGTGTGTGATGTATTTTCGAATGATGAGAGCAGAACCAAGTAATGTGGTCTTTTGCAGTTGACAGATGGTGATTTTGTCGATGTTTATCATTTCCAAATGCCGACTCAGATCTTCTGACATGGCACCCAGTGTGCCAATGACCACTGGGACCACCTATACTGGTTTATGCCAGAGCCTTTGCGGTTCGATTTTGAGGTCTTGATAGTGGCTGAGTTCTTCCTGTTGTTTTTCCTGTCACCCGGTATGGCGACATCAATAATCCAAACTTTTTTCTTTTCCACAATTGTGATGTCTGGCATATTGTGTTCCAAAACTTTGTCAGTCTGGATTCGAAAGTCCCACAGTATTTTTGCATGCTCATTTTCCACTACCTTTGCAATTATTATTATTATTAAGTACTTCCTGATGTTGAGGTGGAATCTCACATGTGCCTCCAGAGTGTGGTGGAGCCTCCTTCTCTAGAGGGTTTGAAGCAGAGGCTGGATGGCCATCTGTTGGGAAGGCTTCGTTTGTGTGATCCTGCACAGCAGAAAGGGGGTTCGACTAGATGGCCCTCAGCTCTATGAAGGAAGTGACATCCTGAGGAGAATGGAGGCTTGCAACAGTCTCTTGCTAAGTGTCTCACAGGCCTTAAAAGGGGCCTGGACCCAAACCCTCCACATGGAACTGGATGATATGGCAGTGAGACTCAGATCACCCATTTCAGAGGCGATATGTTGGCTGATGGCTGCGTGGAAGGGCCAAGGGCGAAGAGGAGGAGGGCCTCTGGGGCCTGCCTTACCTGAGGGCGGCGGCTCCGGCGGAGGGATGGGGGCCGCCCCGCGGAGGGAGCGCGACCGGACCGGCGCCGGGAAGAAGCCCCTGAGGAAGAGGCCGGCCCCCAGCGCCTGCACCAGGAGGCACGACGCCGCCAAGGCCCCCGACCGCAGACGCATCCTCTCTCTCTCTCCCTCTCTCTCGCCCGCCGCCACCGGCACCTGCGCTCCCGCCGCTTCCTCCTCAGCCCACGGGGGCGGGCAGGACGCCTAGCCCGCCAATGAACGGACCCGCTGCTTCCCAGGCGGGCGCTATGATTGGATGAGGAACCGGCCTATCCCGAGCCAGAATCCACTTCCGGTACGAACCTCCCGGAGACAACTTCTCCGAGGCGAGAACCAATCAGAGCGAAAGAACGACGAGGCGAAGACTACATTTCCCAGGAAGCCCCGCGGCCACGCTTTCACATTTAAAGCACCTTATCACCCTTGGTTTTTTCCCTGCTGTGCTCCAACTCTGTTGGTGCTCTCACTGCCTGTTACAGGGAAAACCAGCTGATCCCTAATCTATCTAAAACACAGACATATGCTTTTCACCTTAAGAACACACAAGCATCCCGAGCTCTGAGGATGAGCTGGGAAGGAATCCCACTGGAGCATTGCAGCACACCCAAATACCTGGGAGTCACTCTGGACCGTGCCCTGACCTACAAGAAGCACTGCCTGAACATCAAGCAAAAAGTGGGTGCCTAGAAACAATATCATACGAAAGCTGACTGGCACAACCTGGGGATCACAACCAGATACAGTGAAGACATGTGCCCTTGCGCTGTGCTACTCTGCTGCTGAGTATGCATGCCCAGTGTGGAACACATCTCACCACACTAAAACAGTAGATGTGGCTCTTAATGAGACATGCCGCATTATCACGGGGTGTCTGCGCCCTACACCACTGGAGAAATTACACTGCTTAGCCGGTATTGCACCACCTGACATCCGCCGGGAAGTAGCAGCCAATAGTGAAAGGACCAAGGCAGAGACATCTCCAGCTCATCCCCTGTTTGGGTATCAGCCAGCACGTCAACGACTTAAATCAAGAAATAGTTTTCTTAGATCTACAGACACACTCGCTGGAACACCTCAGCAAGCGAGAGTCCAAAAGTGGCAGGCTCAAACCCAGAACCTCAATCAATGGCTGATACCAAATGAGAGACTCCCCCTGGGCACACAGAAGACTGGGCGACTTGGAAGGCGCTGAACAGACTGCGCTCTGGCACCACGAGATGCAGAGCCAACCTTCAGAAATGGGGCTACAAAGTGGAATCCTCGACATGCGAGTGTGGAGAAGAGCAAACCACTGACCACCTGCTGCAATGCAACCTGAGCCCTGCCACATGCACCATGGAGGACCTTCTTGCAGCAACACCAGAGGCACTCCAAGTGGCCAGATACTGGTCAAAGGACAAACTCACAAGTTGTGTATTTTTCTGTTTGTTTGCTTTGTTCTGTTAGAAATGTAATATAATGGACTGGTTGCTCTGACACGACAAATAAATAAATAAAGCGCTTTCACATTTAAAGCACCTTATCAGCCTTGGTTTTTTCCCTGCTGTGCTCCAACTCTGTTCAATCAGGCTATGAAACAACATTTGAGAAATTGTCTGTTCCTGGTTTGAAAGTGTGATTTCCTGTTTGATTGTGCAGTAGCTACTTCAAAAGTAGTTGTTATACTCCAGTAAGTCCGTTTTTGTGGCTGCCACAACTTTTATCCCGCTTTACCTCTCTATACGGAAACTCAAAAGCGGTTAAAAATAATAAAAAAATATACAAATATACAGTAATAAAACAGTATGTCATATATCATAATCAGTAGCAATTATTTGTAATATATTAGTATTACCGGGATTGTGGCGCAGCTGGCTGAGTGTCAGCTGCATTAAGATCACTCTGACCAAAAGGTCATGAGTTCGAAGCCAGCCCGGGCTGGAGTGGGTGTCCAGCCATTGTGTAGCCCGTTGTCGACCTTTGCAACCCGAAAGACAGTTGCATCTGTCAAGTAGGAAAATAAGGTACCACCTTGTGTGGGAGGCTAAATTTAACTAATTTATGAGGCCATAAAGAAAGAAGACTCCGGGAATGCGGAATGCGGAAGAGCTTCATCGGTGTCGTTGATGGACGATGAAAAGCAGCAGCTCCCCTGGCGGCCAGAAAAAAAAAGTTAAATAGCCTCAGTGTATTTGTGTGTTAAATGTTGTTTGTCAAACTGGCATTGAATGTTTGCCATATATGTGTTTACTGTAATCCGCCCTGAGTCCCCTGTGGGGTGAGAAGGGCGGAATATAAGAACTGTAAATAAATAATAAATAAATACTATATTACAATATTATTATATATCATTATATAGTATTATTAATAATATATTGTATTACACTATAATACTGTTATCAATATTATAGGTAAAGGTAAAGGTTTTCCCCTGACATGAAGTCCATTCGTGTCTGACTCTGGGGTGTGGTGCTCATCTCCATTTCTAAGCTGAGTAGCCAGTGTTGTCCATAGACACCTGCAAGGTCATGTGGCCAGCATAACTGCATGGAGTGCCATTACCTTCCCGCCGGAGCGGTACCTATCGATCTACTCACATTTGCATGTTTTTGAACTGATAGGTTGACAGAAGCTGGGGCTAACAATTGGAGCCCACCCTGCTCCCCGGATTCTAAACCTTCCGGTAAACAAGCTCAGCAGCTCAGTGGTTTAACCCACTGACCATTCCTATGTTTTAAAATGTGAACTCAATTTGGGGAAGGCATATATAATTACACTATGTTATAATTACACTATGTTATAATTACACTAAGTTAAGGAGCCCCCGATGGTGCAGTGGGTTAAAGCACTGAGCTGCTGAGCTTGTTGATCGAAAGGTCGCAGGTTCGATTCCGGGGAGCGGCGTGAGCTTCCGCTGTCAGCCCTAGCTTCTGCCAACCTAGCAGTTCGAAAATATGCAAATGTGAGTAGATCAATAGGTACTGCTCCGGCGGGAAGGTAATGGCACTCCATGCAGTCATGCCGGCCACATGACCTTGGAGGTGTCTACGGACAACGCTGGCTCTTTGGCTTAGAAATGGAGATGAGCACCACACCCCAGAGTCAGACATGATTGGACTTAATGTCAGGGGACTACCTTTACCTTTACCTTTTTATCAAACTGGGCTGTAGGTCTCATTTCCTAATTGGCTCAAATTGGAGCCCCCGGTGGCACAATGGGTTAAACCCCTGTGTGGGCAGGACTGAAGACCGGCAGGTTGCAGGTTCAAATCTAGGGAGAGTGCAGATGAGCTCCCTCTATCAGCTCCAGCTCTTCATGCGGGGACATGAGAGAAGCCTCCCACAAAGATGGTAAAAACATCAAAACATCAGGGCATCCCCTTGCAGACAGCCAATTCTCTCACACCAGAAACAAATTGCAGTTTCTCAAGTCACTCCTCACATGACAAAAAAAATTGGTTCTATCATAAAAACATGGTAAAAGTTTATTAAACTGCAAAAAACTTGGCTTTTGTGGGACATCCTGCAGCACCTTTCCTTAGAGACCATAAAGTGGAAACAACTTCAAGGCACACAATAACAAATCTACATGGCAGAGGTGCTAAGATTTATCTTTACTGAATTACAAAGTTGAATGATAAGTTGGCCTTAGGGTCTTCACAAGTGAAAGAAAGAAAAGAAAGAAAGACTTGAAGGCACACAAACAGAAACCACAACTGCTGCTCTTTGTGTACCTTCTGGGGCTTTTACTCCTACTCTTTGGCTTTCCTTCCAACAAAATAGAGAACTCAGAAACAAAGTACATAAGGGAAAGCATTCATATTGCCATGTTTCTGAATAAAAATAAAACACATGGCTCATAAATCCAATTTCTCAACAACAACAAAAAAGAAATATTGGAATGCAGGCATTTTATTGTGCATGGCCACTGGAAGGAGATCATCACCTGATTATAAGGACAGGGTGGGAGACCTGTATGATGTAGATTTTGGCATTGGTTTTATTTAACAAGGACTCTTTTTCTGCTGCTCACCCCAAGATTTTTGTTTAACCTTGAACTAGAACTCTGAATATGAATGCTGTGGATTTCCATAATAAGTTAATCTGCAAAAGGGTATAACAACCTTTCTTCTTAAAGCTCCAATAACCACAGTCGGAGGTTCAAAAAGCTGGGAAGTGAGGATGCTTTCATAATGAAATTGAGAGGAACCAACACTAGCAGGCAGCCAAAACAGTGCTGTTCCACTTTGGCATCCATTGCCTGAAAGTGCTGTTTGAATTGCTCCAAAACCAATACATAAATAGGGGTGAACTAATCCTTTGTTCCCCCATATGAGCTCTTGGGGGCCTTCCAAGTTGCTGGCCTCTCTTCATCTGCAGTGAGAGAAATCAATCTGTCAAGGGAACAGTGGAGCTGGTGGTTTCCATTGACAGTGTATTGGGGATGAAACAAGGCAGACTGGAGGTTACAAACTGAGCTAAACAGAGCTAAATCAATGTGCTGCTGAAGGCTTTCATGGCCAGAATCACTGGGTTGCTGTGAGTTTTCCAGGCTGTATGGCCATATTCCAAAGCATTCTCCCCTCACTTTTCACCCACATCTATGGCAGGCATCCTCAGAGGTTGTGAGCAGCACCCAAACACGAAGCAAGGAACACGAAAGGCACTACAGACTAATTCAACCAGAGAAGTCAGTCATAGCAGAGCCCTTGATGAACCAACCTGGATACAGCCTATTAGTTGAGAACACAGAAATGCTGGACCACTCTAACAACCACCACATCAGGCTACACAGAAAAGCCATTGAAATACATAAGCATGTGGACAATTTCAACAGAAAGGAGGAAACCATGAAAATGAACAAAATCTGGCTACCAGTATCTAAAAAACTCTAAAATCAAAACAGTAAATAAAGAGGAACACTTTAAAAAATGAGAATTCCAGACAGGAAACAATCAGGGCCAGCTAACACCTCCCAACAAAGGATCCCCCCAGGCAAGAAGCAGCAAGGCCATTCAATGCTAATCAAGCTGGCCAATTGCAACATTCACGCATGCCTCAAATAGACAAGAGTTCTTTCTCCCACCCTGGGCATCCCTTAGATATATAAACCTCACTTGCCTAGTTTCCAACCAACCTCACAACCTCTGAGGATGCCTGCCATAGATGTGGGTGAAATGTCAGGAGAGAATGCTCCTGGAACATGGCCATGCAGCCTG